AGATCATAGGGAGGCTCAAAGTCCAGGATGGAAAAAGGAGAGAGAGAAAAAGAAGGGAAAAAAAACAAAACACAAAAGAGCCAAAAATAGAGTTTCCAAGGCTGGAGGTCATTTGGGTGTGGGGCTCAGGAGGAGCCTCCGGGTTGGAGGGGAACATCCACTTGGTGCCTTTCACTTGCCTGTAGCTGTCTGTACTTAAGCTACCACAGCCCGCAGCTGTGTTGAGTCCACTGACTTCAGGGAAACCTGAAGTGAAGTGAGTCTCTGGAGGCTGGTGGAGCCCTCATTGCTGGAGAGGAAGGGGTGGCAAGGACCATAACCAAAGGGGAGCACAAGCGTATCTGTGCAGGAATACATGAGGCTGAGCAGAGGCACCCAGAAGTCTTTCCCAGCAGATAGTTCTATGACTGTACTTACATTAAAATTGAATAAACATGCCCTTGTGTTGACTTAACCTTCCCAGGCAGTGTGTTGATCTGGTTTTGTTGACATGCTCGTTCCTAGAATCTGATTCTCACTAACCGTGAGTAAAAATGGGAGGTACCCTGGATGTTACCTGAAAAAAACCATCTGAGTTAGGTTTTTGATTAGTTTCTGGTGCCATCCTTCAGGCTCTGGGAAAGCTGGCAGGGTATGAACACCCATCCCTGTGATGACATGATGCCAAATATCACCTCGTAGCAAGTTCTATAGATGCAGTTATTGGGATGAGACTGCTCCTCGTGATCGGGAGCCTCTGTTTCTGCTTCATTGCAACCACAAAACAGGACCTTTGAGGGATTTCTCTGCAAGACTGGAGATCCTCCTTTCAGACCAGGGTTTAAAGCTTTGCCCAAGCTGTTCCCAGCATGGGGTACGCTCCCCTCCCCTCCCCTCTGATAACTGCCACCCTTAACCAAACCTTCTCCCACTCCCATGCCCCACCAAGACCCTGGTCTGGAAGCTGCCAGCACAGCCCATACCACAGCTGGGCCAGAAAGATCCTGTAAGTGCAGGAAGGGATGAGCATAAGTCCCATTTTCCTTCTGGCAGGAGGGTTGGCTGTTTTTTTACAAAGCACTGCTCTCTGTTACCTGGGCTGGGCCACCAGAAACTCTGGACATGCATCCCTGTATTGTCTCATGGGGGATGAGGTAGCAGTTCTGGTCGGAGAAAACCCTCCTTGTTCCCCTCTCCTCCATCAGAGGTGTGGGGAATGGTGAGCAATTAATCTGAAATATAAACCCCTGTAGCCTGAGAAATTCTGGATGAGAGCCAGAAAGAGTTAACAAGGAAACATGTTCCCTCCAGCATAATTGTATATTTGGCTTATATTTTAATAAATGAGTAACAGCTGAGCAGAGAGGCCAAAAGGAGACAGTCCCCCCCCACCCTGAGGTACCTTCAAGGCAGTGTTTGGGCTGTGTGCGGGTCGGATACTGGAGTGGGCTTTTAGCACAAAACACTGAGGATTAACTGTGAATTAGAGAGCCATGTAGGCAGTGAGTAGCAATCGGAGCCGGTGGCTAATGCAGGTGCGAAGGATTGAGTTTTTTTAATGTTTAAATTTTCTTTTGAATTCCCTGAAGGCAGGAAGAGGAGGAACAAAGCCAGGCACTGTGGTTGAGCCTTAGGGGAGCTGGAGGCCTGAGGTGATAAATCAGCAGCGCTGCAGTGAGATTAAGAGGGAAACCAGTGTAATATATGAGGCAATATGGAAAGAGGAGTTTTATTGCTACAGTCAGCCCTGAAAGGCTTCAGTTCCAGATGGTTGAAGTAGGGGTAAGTCAGGAACCTCCATCAGATGGGGCCCACCATCTGACAATAGCAGAAGCAGAGGAGGGGTTCTTCTGCACCCAGAAAGGGTGCCAGCTGGAGAGAATTGTTTTCACAGCAGGATAAAATAGCTTGCATTAGTGAAGAATTCCTTCTTTGTGAGGAAAGCTGGTGATAAGCATGGCCATTTTGGCGTTTCCCTCCATTCAGGAAATGCCTCTTGTTCTTGCAGAGTATTTCTGGGAAGGCTTTGGGATTAGTTTGCTGCTCTAAAGCAAATGCACCAGGTGGTTCTGGATGATGGTGCTGTTGGCCTATCATTGATGATAACCATCAATTGGCCTTGATAAAGCCCTCTGCTGTAGTAGCTTCACAGACAGCCAGTCCCAGGGATGGGTGGTCGTTTAGTACCCACTACACTGTGATGGGGACCCATGTTCCCCAGGCAGCAGCTTGAAGCTGTTAAACTTGTTTCTGATAACTCTCTGAGCCATGGCTAGGGAGCAACATCTTTCATAGCTCTCAGCCAGGGCAAGAGGTAGAACAAAGACCTGGTTCATGGAGGAATTTCTCCTGCAAGAGCGAGGGTTGTCGGGCGTTGGCACTGCCCAGCGCCACGTCAAAGGCAGGGTAACCTCAGACCACAGCACTGATGCAGCCTCACAAATTGCTGGGAAGAGGGGGGATGTTACTCTATATGGGTTTGGGTTTTTTTTGTTGTTTTTTTTTAAATTTTTAATTTGAAATGGTTAAGGAGAATTCTCGTTTGGGGAAAATTTGGCTGTACTTTGCTACAGCATTAGACTTCTCTGTTGGATCTCTTCTGCTAGAAATGTTTAGATTTATTTTTGTTTGTGTTCTGTCTTACGCAGCTAAGAAAACAGTTTCAAATAGGACAAATTGTCTTGTTCCAGGGAGGAGGTCTGATCTAGAGAGTGAAAACAGCTTGCTACTTGGAGAGCCATCCACAAAAGAACAAGGCTTTAAGGACAATTCCCTGCACGGTGCCCCACAAGAGATATTGCAAAGCCAAGATGCTGGCCTCAGGAAGCACTACTATGTGAGACAATCTTGTTAAGTGTCTTTTTGTCCTAGGTCTTATGTGCCCCAATGCTTGGTCCTCCGGGTGCTGCTCCTTTGGGTACAATGGGTGGGGAGGCAGGTGCCTGGGGTATTCCCTTCTCCTGGTTGTAAGAAAGGGGAATCGTATTAGTTCATTTCACAGGGATGCTGGTGCCCCTTTCTGACAGTCTTTAACAGCTGGTGCTGTAGTAGAAGAGTTGAGTCTATTTTGATCAGGAGCGTGTCTCTCCCATACTTGTGTTTTGCTTGTCACTGGCAACACGAAAGGAAGAAATGCTCATGGAAGAGCCAGTGTTCCTGCACAACACTAGTAGAATGTCAATTCTGAATGCACAGAAGTGTGAGCTTCTTGTGGCAGTTGGAGGGAGAGTTACTCTCGGAAGCTTAGAAAAGTGCAATGGCATCCCATGACCTGTAAATCTTGTGAAAATGAATCAGTGATACTATTATTAAAACATCTCCACTTGTAACGGCTGCTTTGGCAGACTGGTCGTTAAACTTGGTGTAGGATATAAAGCCTGGTAGGAGGAAACTCTAAAAGCAACAGGAATTTTGCTGCTCGAAAACCACTCAGTTTAGTCCAATTTCTAGCCAAAGAGCCAAAGTGTGGATTCAACACTTTTAGGCTCTCAATTAAAAGGTCATAATCACATCATCAAGAGGTCCAGGCTCACCACATCATCTGTCTGTTTTCCAGAAAAAGTCACTCTTACCCAAAGGACAAGTGGAAATGCCTAAATGGGATGATAAAAGTGCTAAGTGTGGCCAGAGCCAAGAACCATTTTGCTGTCAAGGCTTAAAATATATTTTCATTAAGAAAGAAATGTTAGGAAATGGCAGTCTTTTGATAGACAACTCACAAGACTAATTTGTGAAACTCCATAGAAAGAGGAGCTGGTGGAAATTATTCTTACATTCACACCTAAGGCAATCACCCTGGATTTATTACTACATCTTGGGCTGCAAGCCTGAATCTGATTTATTAACTACTGTCCCTTTCAGTTTCTTATCCAGGGTGGTAAACCAGCTGTAGAAAGCTGAAAAGAAGTTGAGCTGCGTGTCTTGTCATTTCAGCCTGTTTCTTATGTTCATTTTGGTCTATAAACAAACAACTCTCAGGTCTCCTAAATAGATTTTCTGATTGAGTTCCCAGAACAGACCACCACCGGTCTCATTAAAGCTTATTTATGCTACTTTCATGCATGAATAAAAAAGCTCCCATTCACTGCTGATTTTATTTAGTTAGATCCTGTGCCTTGTGGTGGACATTGAATCGGAGTGACATTTTTGGCAACAACAAAAAAAATAAAACAGTGGGACTGCGGAGAACAGTTTGATGTCTGTAACTTTTGCAGTATGAAAAGGAAGGGGTTAACCTGTTCTTGGCTGTATGGTATTGATTGAGGCCCATGCAAAGAAAATACAGCTGTAAATAGTTAGGAGTATTCCCTAGTAGCTGGGTTGTTGGTTGTTTTTGGGTTTTTTTTGGTAAGTCATTGAACTGGGATTCTGGAGGTATGACCTGTTTCCCAGGGATGCCACCCGCTTCCTGCATGATAGGAGGAGGAGAAGGAGGAGGACGAAGGTCACGAGTTGCTCTAGGTCTCAGCTCCCCAGCTGAGAATGATCCTTTCTCCCTCCTCTGCTTTTTTCCAACTTGCCTGTTTATATTGCTAGCTTTTCAGCAGAGTAACGTCTACTCTGCCTCTGTGCTGATCATGATGGGTCCTGCTCTCAGCTGGGGTCTCTAAACATCACTGCGAATAACAAATATAATTTTCCCTTTACACTTGTCTCCATCTCCATCCATGCTGCTGTGTCTGTGAGGTAAGATTAATAGCTAAAAATAAAATAAATTTAAAAACAAAAAAAAAGAAGAAATCAGTAAAGATGAAGAACAAGGGAGTAAAGATCCAGCAAGTGTGAAAAGTTGTGAAACGGGTTTGTTTTTCTGCAGTCCTGTTGGCTGATGATCTCTTGCAGAGGTACCGCATTTTGGGAAGAGAAGGATTTGAGCCTGTCCTTCAAGTCAAAAGGGTGAACAAAAAGCAGCTTTGTGAATTTCTTTTGTGCTAAGCACATTGTGAATATTCTTAAGCATTGCCACAAGGATTAACATCTCTGCATTTTAATGTGCCTGGTGCTGGAATGTAGCTGGAAAGTGGAACAGGCAGGAATGGTCTCTCCAGGCACTGGGCTCTGCTAGGTGTCTCTTTGAAGTACTATTCAATAACTTTTCTGTTACTTTTTCTTTTCTTCCTTTTTTTTTTTATTCCTTTTTTTTTTTTTTCTTTCCCTCCTCCTTCAAACAACTTCTGGAACAAATCCTGATAGCTTTCACATTTCTGAAATTTACTGGACTGGACTGTTTTATCTCCAAATACCTTTGCATAGCAGTAGTATATATAAAAAAAAAAAAAAGGCATGTGGACAGAAGTATGGAGTTTGGTATTTACTTTGGATCATTAACCTGGTCTGTAAATTTGACTTGATATCTCCTTTTTTTTGTTCCTCCCCCGACTTTGTGTAATTTCAGAGCCCGCGAAGAGACGCTGTCATTTGCTGCTTCGGGATCCCAGCAAGAAATGGGAGTCTGATGGATTGTAAATGCACCTGCTTTGTTTAAAACCCAGCCAAACAGATAAGTGCCCTTTTAATTATCTCACAGCAGCGTTTTAGACGTAGTTGTGCACAACATCTCTCTTCAGTTTGGTTTCAATTCGGTGAGCCCTCTGCGTTTCACCATTGCAAACAAGTACTCTGCGGTTCTCCTCTCGGCTGAGAAATCACAGGCGATATCAGTATTTCACGTGAGCTAATTAATTAGCGTCTGCGGGAGCTGCAGCTGATGGCTGGGGAAGCTCCCGTGGGTCGTTCCCTTCTCCTCTGGAGCTGCCGTCTCCAGCAGCCCAGTGAGGTTTTGGGACTCCGAGAAGCAGCTCTGCGGGACCAGATGAGGCTGATGTGACCCATCTGAGCCTTAAGGAGTCCTCCGGGACTCATTAGGGGTTTAATAACTAAACTTGGCTGGTTTGATTGAGAAGATGCTTGTGCAGGCTTGGCGTGATCTCAGAGAAACCAGTTAATGCTGCTGGCAGGAGAGAGGGCTTTCTGCATGTGCTATTCATATGCGTGTGGAGACAGTGATAACCCCTACTTCTTCCTGCCGTTTCCCAGGTGGGAAAATAGTTGGGAATAGCAGAGAGAAGTCCTTAGTTATACTGAGTTTATACAAGGCACAAAGAGGTATCGTGGGTGAGTTGTAACAAGTATTGTTCCCTCGGTGTTGTGGGGGACGTGTGTCTCTATGGATAGCAAATACAGGCTAGCAAGAAAATAATTTCTGGCAGCTTAGATCTGCTTCTATACGTGACCGCTGCCTGCTCTCGGACACTGCAATTATTAAATAATCTAAGAAATCCATAAAATGTGATCTCGTGTACAGTGTAACTTTGGAATCCTACACAGGCACGGGGCTGGGGCAAATATTCACCGTAGCTGCAATTTACAGCGCTAGAGTAAAATGAAAAAATCACTAAAGCTGAGCATGTGAGCACTGGAAGGGATATGTGGCAGCAGGAGGGACAGGAGCCAAATTATCTGCTCCAGAGCTGTCTTCTCTGCTCTATCAGGGTTAATTAGCAGTGTAAAATGTCTGCCTCGCTGCTACGAAACTACAAACAGGTTTGCTACAGCAAGTCAGACTGTAGTAACTGATGTGAACTCATCTTACTGTGTTCCTAAGCAGAAGATGAGTTTCTTGGTGAAGCCTGGGACCGAGAGAGACTGGAGAGACGAGATGATGCAGTAGGAGGTTACTGGAGCGCGAGGGAACTGGATCTAGATCAGCTCGGGTGATCCCTGGAGTTTCTGATGTTCCCTCTTTTCTAGGAAAAACTTCACTCCTGCTGTTATTACCGAGAAACTTCTTATATTAATAGAAGAAATGACTTGTCCTATATCAATTACTATGCTGTGACTTAAAATTGTTAGCGTTACTTATTCCTGACTCGATACTCTGATAGCAAAAAGGCTTGACAATATATTAAGAAACACTGATAAAATGAAGCCCTAGTGAGAAAATCAGGGTTTGTTCATTCAGCAAGAATGGATGGGAAGTAAAAAAACCTTAAATCACCCCAACAAACAGAGTTCTTTGCTCCTCCAAAAAAAACCAAACAAAACCCCAACCTTTTATTTTTAGCCTCAGAGATCTTCAAGGTCTTGATTATTAGGTCTGTGACTTGAAATCTGATTTCTGCCAGTGTGCTGATATCAATATTCCCCAAAATTAGGTCCTGATAAACGAACCCTAACCTGGCCAGACTGGGCATCAAAGCTGAATTTGGAAATCATACCCTGAAGTGTGGCATGCAACTTGTAGCGCTCTGTGCTCTTTGGCAGAAGAGGCAGAAAGCACCTGCAGTCTCTCTGGAGCTGTACTGATGTGAGAGATGATACTGAGCGTGTTACATGCGCCTGTGGTTTGGTTGGTGCAGCTGAGGAGAAGGGATTCAACAGATCATGACAGGCTTCTGCAAAAAATCTTGTCCAGAAAAGAAGACTCCTGAATCCCTAACTATTTTCTCGTCTTACAGGTGAGCCTTGAGGACACCTGGGTGACCATAGCTCCTGAATGCATGACCTTCCCCTGGGATTAGACGAAAGCCATGGGGAAAGACAAGAAAAAAGAGGAGGCTGTCTTTCTGAGGAAAAAGATAACTTTGGTGAGGGCTTTCTCACTCCTCATCGGCAGCATGGTTGGCAGCGGCATCTTTATCTCCCCAAAAGGAGTACTGAAAAACTCTGGCAGCGTGGGTTTCTCCCTGGTTGTCTGGTTTGCCTGTGGGCTCCTCTCAATGTTCGGTGAGTTGTGGTGAGCTTTGCCAGCCTTTGCTTAAGCACCTGGGAGGGAAACCAGCACGTTTTTACGTATAAAAAACATTGGGAGCAGAATAAACTAAATTTTCCCTGTTCCTACTGCAACAGAAACAAAGGTTTAAGAAACCTGGGGGGATCACCAGGGGTCTTCAGTTCAAATGATTTCCCTCATGGTGACTGAGACAATCCCAGCGCTTACAGTCTGTGAATATGAAATCTTGTGTGAGTCCGGGTCAGAGGAGTGACAGTGACCGCAGATGGAGACAGCATGTTCTCTGCCAGGAAAGCTGGGAGAAGATGAGGGGACTCATGAGGGGACACCTCATCACTCTCTACAACTACATGAAAGGACACTGTAGAGAGATTGGTGCTGGTCTCTTCTCACAGGTAATTAGTGACAGAACGAGAGGGAATGGCTTCAAGCTCCAACAGGGTAGGTTTAGACTGAACATTAGGAAGGAATTTTTCACAGAGAGAGTGGTCAGGCATTGGAATAGGCTGCCCAGGGAGGTGGTGGAGTCACCATCCCTGGCTGTGTTTAAGGGCCATTTAGATGCAGTGCTAAGGGACATGGTGCAGGGGATGACTTTGTAGAGTAGGGTAGATGGTTGGACTCGATGATCCCAAGGGTCTCTTCCAACCTGAATGATTCTATGATTCTGTGACCCATTCTGTAAGGTGGAAGGGAGATGTAGGCATCCAAAAGGCACTCGTGAGTCCAGGGGCTGTGCACTGCTTTTCATAGACGCTGTGAAAAGGGCAAGAAGTGATGGTCTTAACATGTCATAAGGGATCCCCTTTCTGTCAGGGAGGAGAATAGAGAAGTGCTAGAGCACGTTGCCCGGGGAGCTGCAGAATACCCACCAGCCAGGGGTGGGTGTCTGGATGTCTGTCAGAAACGGTTTGGATGTGGCTGATGCTGCCTTGGAGCAGGAGGTGGAGCAGATCAGTTCAGCCCTGTTTTCTGTGTGTTACCCGTAGGCTTGGTTTCTGGCATGGATACCAGTATTTTCTCACAAAGGGTGGACAGTTTGATGACAGTTTCATTCTAGTTCTTCTGAAATAATGTAGCTCTTGAAGTTGTGATGGATAAAATGTATGGCTTTTAGTTTCCTTCATTAACTATATGAAATCACCATCTCGGAAACGCTCTAAAGGTGCTGTTAGGAGAATCACAAGATCTCTCTGCACTGGGGAGAAATCTGATGTGTATTTCCCTGGGTGACTTTAAATTTCTTCTTCTATATTGACTTAGGAACAAAAATACAAGAAAGGAAAAATACTCCATGTGGGAAAAAACACTTTGGCACTGTGACGTGTACACACAAGTTTAGAAATTGAGACATTAAATTGTTAATATGGCAACAAGTGTTATTCTTGCTTTTAGCGTACGTGTACTGATATTTCATGTTGCAGCCTATGTGCGGTGATTCGGTGAATTACATACTTTTACTTAAAGAAAATCTTAAAATATAGTGTGACCATGGTGTTTCTTTTAAGTGAGCAGAGCAATAAACAATAATGCGTGTGCTGATCACATAGCCCACGCTCTGCACTTGGAAAGGTTTCTCTCTCCATTGCATCCTTTGATAGACTCTGCTGGCAGGGAGTCTCTTTATCAAATTATTGTATTTTGTAGCCAAATTTGTTGGTTTTTTCTTCCCTTTTATCAGCTTGATGACCTCCCCTGATCATTTCTCTGACACTTTTTTTTGCAGTATATTAAAAAGGCCTGCTGTCTTATATGCTTTATTTTTTTTCTTTCAAGTATGGCATTTACAGAAGTCCCCTAGCACGAGTTCAGCAAAGCACTCAAACGCGTGCTTAAAGTATGCAAAGAGACCCACTGGAATAAATGAGACGAGGTGTTAGATGTAGTGCTAAGGGACATGGTGCAGGGGATGACTTTGTAGAGTAGGGTAGATGGTTGGACTCGATGATCCCAAGGGTCTCTTCCAACCTGAATGATTCTATGATTCTGTGACCCATTCTGTAAGGTGGAAGGGAGATGTAGGCATCCAAAAGGCACTCGTGAGTCCAGGGGCTGTGCACTGCTTTTCATAGACGCTGTGAAAAGGGCAAGAAGTGATGGTCTTAACATGTCATAAGGGATCCCCTTTCTGTCAGGGAGGAGAATAGAGAAGTGCTAGAGCACGTTGCCCGGGGAGCTGCAGAATACCCACCAGCCAGGGGTGGGTGTCTGGATGTCTGTCAGAAACGGTTTGGATGTGGCTGATGCTGCCTTGGAGCAGGAGGTGGAGCAGATCAGTTCAGCCCTGTTTTCTGTGTGTTACCCGTAGGCTTGGTTTCTGGCATGGATACCAGTATTTTCTCACAAAGGGTGGACAGTTTGATGACAGTTTCATTCTAGTTCTTCTGAAATAATGTAGCTCTTGAAGTTGTGATGGATAAAATGTATGGCTTTTAGTTTCCTTCATTAACTATATGAAATCACCATCTTGGAAACGCTCTAAAGGTGCTGTTAGGAGAATCACAAGATCTCTCTGCACTGGGGAGAAATCTGATGTGTATTTCCCTGGGTGACTTTAAATTTCTTCTTCTATATTGACTTAGGAACAAAAATACAAGAAAGGAAAAATACTCCATGTGGGAAAAAACACTTTGGCACTGTGACGTGTACACACAAGTTTAGAAATTGAGACATTAAATTGTTAATATGGCAACAAGTGTTATTCTTGCTTTTAGCGTACGTGTACTGATATTTCACGTTGCAGCCTATGTGCGGTGATTCGGTGAATTACATACTTTTACTTAAAGAAAATCTTAAAATATAGTGTGACCATGGTGTTTCTTTTAAGTGAGCAGAGCAATAAACAATAATGCGTGTGCTGATCACATAGCCCACGCTCTGCACTTGGAAAGGTTTCTCTCTCCATTGCATCCTTTGATAGACTCTGCTGGCAGGGAGTCTCTTTATCAAATTATTGTATTTTGTAGCCAAATTTGTTGGTTTTTTCTTCCCTTTTATCAGCTTGATGACCTCCCCTGATCATTTCTCTGACACTTTTTTTTGCAGTATATTAAAAAGGCCTGCTGTCTTATATGCTTTATTTTTTTTCTTTCAAGTATGGCATTTACAGAAGTCCCCTAGCACGAGTTCAGCAAAGCACTCAAACGCATGCTTAAAGTATGCAAAGAGACCCACTGGAATAAATGAGACGAGGTGTCTGCCTGTGTTAGACACTTTGAACAGGGATTCTGCACAAATTTGCCAACAGAGAGGCAGGAAAATTTGAGGTCCTCACCATGGACCTGACCTGATTATGGCACTATTGCCATGGGACTTGGGAGGCATGGCCATATCACCACTGGGTTCCTCTGTGCTCCCCCTCCACAGCCACCTGAGCTGGGCAAAGAAGTAGACAACACAGCGAGAGATGGTCTTACCCCCCAGGGTCCCATCCCAGCAGCGCTCAGCCCCACTGCAAGGTGAGCTGTGCTCAAAAAAAAAAAAAAGTGTTCTATGATTTCTTTTGGTGAACAAAGGATGTTTAACCTGGCAAGTGAACTCAGTGCAGACAGGGCTTAAGATTCATACTTAGACCCGTTCAGACGGCATGATGAATTGCTCTGTAGAGAAAGCACAGATGTAAAGATCTTTTTTCTTTTTTTTTTTTTTTTTTTTTTTTTGGCACAGGAGGAGGTGTAAAGGTTTCTATCCATTTGCTTGAAAATTTTAAACTGCCTTCTCCCAGGGTTTCTCGTTGTGCCCTGGGGCAGGGTCAGGGAGGTGCAGAGGCGCTGGTCAAGGCAGGAGCAGGCAGTCCCCAGGCCTATTGGGGTACATGAACGTGTGAGAAGAGACTGACTGAGCCCCTCACACAGACTCTTCCCTTGCTCTGCACCCTGGGAGCCATGCTTTCTCTGGTGGCAGGTCTTCCCTCTCAGAGGAGATGCCCTGCTAGGTCTTCTGTCCAGTGTCTTCGAATGAAGGAAGGGATTTATGTGAAGATGCAAGATAAGGACACAGGAATGTGGTCTGTGATCCAAAAATGCGATTGAAATGACCGGTTCAGTGATGGCCTGTCAGCTGAGCTGATGGAACTGCCCTGTAAGCAGCATTTCACCAGCCTGTGAGGAGAAGCAAGAACCCAAACCTCCAGGGTGGTTTTTGAAGGAAACCTCCTGTAGCTCACTGCAACATTTCTGTAACACACCTTTTCACATAACTTCCATGGGAAAGTTGGGTCATTAACCAGAAAATGGAGAATTTCTTCCCGTCTGACAGAAAAGTCAATCACTTCAAAACTTACTTCAAAATACTGTAGCACACAAAAACGGGGAATAGTGGCTCTGTTAAATCCCCTTTTCTTCCTCTAATTCACTACTTATTTTAAACAGATTGATTCAATAACTAAAAAGTCATACAGAAGAGAAAAAATCCATGGGACGATTTACTCAGTGCTTTTCTACCTGAACTTTTCCAGGTGCCTTGAGTTATGCGGAGCTTGGAACAAGAATCACCAAGTCTGGAGGACATTATATCTACATTTTGGAGACATTAGGGCCTCTGCCAAGTTTCTTATTCCTGTGGGCAGAGTTTTTTGCTATCAGGTAAGGGCTTTTGTTTGTTTGCTTTTTGCCGGATGCTGTGACGATTTAAAAAAAGCAAGTTATTGTGCCAGGTAACAGTCTAAGCAGTTTGTAAAGGAAAGAGAAGAAACAATCTGGACAACTTTTAAAGATTTTTCAGTGATAAAAGGAAGAGGACATAAGGAGTAAATAGCTACACATGTTCAATGTGATCTGTACTTGAAGAATATCTCTCTTCTCCCTTGGCAGCTGGTATCCTCCAAGAGCCACAGTATTTTTCAGAGGCTGACAATAGATGCCAGATTTATTTCAGATCTTCTGTTTTCATTGTGAAGCTTTTTCTGGTTCTCTTGTGTAGACAATTTTCTGGCTTACCCCTGAGTCAAATAATATTTTAGAAAATGGTAAATTACTTTTTTTTTAACTTTTAAAAAAAAAAGTCCTCACCTCTCAATAACCTGTGCTCTTCATATCAGCTGAGATGAGGCGGGACATATGGACCATTGCTTAGTACAATTAATCTCAGCTTTTGTTTTCAAGTTGGGAATGGATCTTTTCTTTGCAGCATGCGATTTTTAACTCATTTACTGAGAAAAACCTGTGAAAAAGACTTTATGGGAATTCATCACCTGCATGGGAGAGCAGGAGTAAGCTGGGTGGGGAAAATTCCTCCCCTCCTGAGTTTTGTGCAGTTTTACATCATGCCATTTCTTTGGCTGTCTGCAGACCCCAGTTTGTGCTCGGTTCCTCCCCCCAGGCCTGCCAACAGTGCTGTGGTTTCTTTGGCGTTTGGACGTTACATGCTGGAGCCGTTTTTTGCCCCCTGTGCAGCCCCTGTCCCTGCCGTGAAGCTGGTGTCCCTCCTGGGGTACTGTAAGTACTAACTTTTACTGGAATGCTCCTCTCGGAGTCTCTCTGCCCCACACCAGGGGCACTTACGGGGTGTTATCTTCTGGAATAACTATGGGATTGGGGCCCCATTTTATCTTCTTGGCCACCCAAAGCTTCCTGATCCAAGGTGCTGGTCTGGGGCCACGATATTCTCCAAGAAGGGGAATGGGCCTCCCTGTTGAGCAGCTGGAGCCCTGGGGATTGTGCCAAGTAGGGGGAGTAGAAACTCTTTGTCTATAATTGTGCAAATTCCACCTGGGTGGAGGGTGTAAGGTTCAAGCTTTTGAACTCCTCGCCTGCTGCCTGCGAAGCTGTTCTGCCTGCTCTGGGCTGGTGTGTGCTGGCACAGGAGCTGCTGTAAAAGGGGGCTGATGAGATGTCCTTGCAAACTTATGGGGAGTAGAAATTCTTCATCTATAATTGTGCAAATTCCACCTGGGTGGAGGGTGTAAGGCTCAAGCTTTTGAACTCCTTGCCTGCCACACCTTCCCCCCAGGCAGGCGTGGGTCACCTGAAAGGAACCAGGCTCCTCATCCCTCATAGGAGCATAACTCAGCTCCCCCTTCAACCTCTGTACGCTGGGCCACCCCTGTAATATTTTCTGGTATCTCTCACCCCGGGTATCCTCTCTGTAAAGATGTAGCTTTCTCCCTGGCATCCCTAGAGCAGGGAGCTCTGCTTTATTTTTTCCTGCATACGTCGAGCTGTGGCAGTGTGGTCTCCTCCCCAGACATGGTCCTCACCCTCAACTCCTGGAGCGTCACCTGGAGTGCCCGGCTGCAGACAGCTCTCTCTGTCGTCAAGCTCCTGGCTCTGGCACTCATCATTGTGCCCGGGATGATGCTGCTGGCCCAGGGTAGGTGTGCTGCTGGGTCACTGAGGGAGGGTGCTCGACAGACTGGCCTGTCACGGCCTTTTTATCGGTCCCTAGTGATGAGCGTGGTACTCGTTTAGCTGGCAGGAGCTTCCTCTGCCTGTGTGCTGGATGTGAATTAGCTGGGAGCTGAGACCAGGGTGGTTGGCACTCAGCTGTGTCGTTGCACCGGGCCAACGCACCTGGCTCAGCTGCAATGTCTCCAAAACTGAGGGAGAGTCTCGGTGCCTGAGGCTGTGTGAGCCTACCCAGGGTCACACAGGCACCTTCCTCTGTGGATGGTCTTTCTTTGGTGGCAGACTTGCCCTGATTTCATCACGGCTTGAAATCCTTCCAAGGCAGCACAAGTTTGATGGACGTCAGTTGATGAGTGACAGCATCCCATGGTGACCCCAACCAGTCACAGCTGTGCAATGTGTTACCAGCCCTCAGCTGAGCCCTGGTGCCTGCATCTCTAACCATTCTGTGGCTGAAGCTAATGTGTTTTACCTTCTAATCGAGATGGGCAGTAACTCAGACGTACGATGGACTCACACAGGATTGTGTACTCACACCCAGAGTGGGGGGAAAAACCCCTGCCAGTAACATCTTCTGGGAATGATACAAGAGCGTTGGCTTTAATCCAAGCCTCAGTTTATAGAAAAGCCCAAGGCATTCCCACTCAAGGGATGAAGCCTGGTCCCTCGTCATGCTATTACCTTCCTCTGCAGAGAAAACAACACAGGCAGTAGGCTACGCGTTCGTGTTTCTTTTTGATGTCTGGAGCTGGCTCCTTTGAACATGCAGAGATCCCCTCCGGCTGGCAGCACTTCTGAACTGAAGGACTGCCCTGCAGCTAGAAATCCTGAGCCATTATTGTTAGGAATGCCTTTAAATGACAATCTGGAGCCCTGGCACCCTTCCTCCAGTGAGGAGGATAAGTACTGGTGACATCTGGAGGGAGAATTCACCAAGAGACCCCAATATGACAGGTTGTATTTAATTTGACTCATGGGGGACTGTAAATCACTCATTAATATATTGCAGACAATAAATCCTTTTTATGCACCATCACTTATCAGCAATCATTTTCAAACATAAAAAGACTACCCTGATAGGCCCACTCCCATATTTTGGTTTAGTTTTCTTCAAATCTGTTTTCTTTTTGAGCTGTTTTTTGTGCTTAGAAATCAGTTTTGTGCTTCTAAATCAATTTGCCTTACTCCTTGCTTTGTTCTACTTTCTCTGGTTACACTCTTGTCCTTTCCTCTGCCATTTCCTTCCCTTTGGCTCAGGGTTTTTTTGCTGGGCCAGGGTTGCAAACCCAAATGTCCAAATCTTGTCACAGAGCTCCTTGCAGAGGCACCTCCATAGAAGCAGCCTGACTTTCTCTGTGTGTCTTGTGCCATTTCATCCCTTTCCTGGCAAAGCCCAACTAGGCAAGATCTACTCCTTTTACTTATAAAGGTACTTTGACAGGCAGAACTGACTATAGATCTGGAACCAAACCTTGGGCCCCCTGGATTTGAAAATGTTGGAAGTGCAATTCCTTTTGACTGTATTTCTTATCGGTCTTCCCCTGAATGAGAAGCTGTTAGGTGTTTCTTCCTTCCCTAGGTTTGTTCGATGTTTGATAAAATGTGTTTCATATCCAAAATCCTGACTTTGATTGTTTGTTTGTGGGTTTTTTCTGTTGTTATCTCAAGCAGAGAACTTCTAGGAAAACCGAGAGAGTTGGTAAAATGGCATCTTTATCTGAGCCACCTCTACTTTTTTTAAATTTTATTTGCTTTATCCTCCGTGTCCCGATTCCCTCCTCCTGTGGGTGGGCTGTGGTGGCGGGCAGGGATCATGCCCAGAGTTGTGGGCCCAGAATGGCAATCCCTGCTCCCCGTTCCCTCCCCTGTCCTGGTTCCCATGCTCCGACCAGCATGGGGCTGGGGTCAGCGCTCCGGCAGCGGGATGGGGAGGGAGCACAGCGAGAGCTGAATTAGCTGCCTCGTTGGCTGCACCACATCAAAGAAGAGTGTGCATCCAGCTGCTTAGGGAGCTGGGAGGAGGGAAGAGGGGGGCCAGCACAGTGAATTAATTTTGGGCCTAAAGAAAGGACAAGACAACTTGGGTCCTCTCGTCTCCACGATCTCCCGTTCCCACAGCAGGCTCTGTCTGAAACAGAACCAGCCCCTGCCATCGCCCTTCCTGAAATGTCTCCTGTAGCTGGATGGGGGATGGATTTGTTCTGTCACTGTTTGTGAAGTAAATGTGTCAGCACAGCACAGCAAATTAAAGCAATGAAACAAATCCAAATACCTGGCTCCAGGGAAGTCACAAACGTCCTTCCCAGGTCTGGGCAAGAGGTGCAAGGGGTGTTATCCCACGGGAAGGAAGCCCATCTCTGACATTTCCCTGCCCTGTGTCCATTTGTTTATCTCCTGCAGGCCACACCGAAAACTTCCAGGATGCTTTTGACAGGCAGTCGCTGGTTTTGGATAAGCTGCCCCTGGCTTTTTACGCAGGCATGTTCGCGTATTCAGGCTGGTAGGTGCGACAGGAGGGAGCTTCGTGGGCAGCAGGCTGGTGCCTGAGACGTGGCTCAAACTCTCTCCCTTGTCTCTTCCCACCGTGCAGGTTCCAGACAAGCTTTGTGCGTGAGGAGTTGGTCAGGCCTGAGCGGTAAGGCTGGGGAGAAGTCGGTTACCAGCATCTGGGGTACCGTGGCTTTCCCAAATGCAGTGTGGGAGGAAATAAGTTTGGTGGGTTCACCTAACCAGCTGCAGTAATAGCGTGCATAACAAGGGATAACAGCTTGTTCTTTGTGTGCCCCTCTTCCTGTTTCTTGTAGAAATATCCCCCTGGCTGTCATCGTGTCTGTGATCACAGTAATTGTGGGGTACATGCTCACCAACATCTCCTATTACACGGTCCTGGGAACGCAAGATGTTCTCGCTTCTCCTGCTGTGGCTGTGGTAAACCATCACCCCTACAGTTACCTTTCTTCGGTGGGGTCATGAATGGGGGGTTCATGGCAGGTGTTTTGGAGATGATTTTTAAGATAAAATGCCTTATTTCTTTGTCATTTGTCTGGATTACTGGGCAACAGTAACTTCTTCTAGTCTTGCCTAAAAGAGAATGAAAAATAACCTACAGATGACAGGAGAAAAGGCAATATTTATGAGTTATACTTGGCTCCTTCGATAGACGAAGTTGTCTTTCTCTTGAATCTGATGTTTAGAGATCACCCCGTTTTCCTAAAGTCACACTTGCTCTTCCTCCAGAGCTTTGTGCAGCGAGCCTTCAAAAGCCTGATCTCCGTGGTCCCTGTCCTTGTTGCGCTGTCCTGCTTTGGAACCATGAATGGAGGAATCTTCACGTTTTCAAGGTCACGTCCCTAAGAATTAATTGCTCTTTTGGCTTACTGAATTGGAGGGGAGCACCAGCAACCTGTGCAACTGCACACCCACTTGATGGCATTTTAGCCACTCTTGTGGGAAAAACAAGGCCTTTGACTCCCAGGATGTCCGCTACAGGACAACCCTGTTGGCTAAGAGTTGACCCTTTCTATTTCTGGCTAGGTCCAGACTTTGGTACCTAGGGCTGGTCACAAACAAAGATTTTTATCTTCTTCCCCCTCTCCCCCTCCCTTTCAGTTTGAATCCCCAGTTTAAAGTGAAATGTCAATGTTTCTGGTGAACTAGAGGCTTTGTTGACGTTGGCAGCTACTCAGTGAGACCGAGCCTTCTTTCGCTGGGTTCACCCAGCTGCTCTGCTGCAGGGCACGGGGCTCCCTCTGTTGTGAGGACCTCTGGCCAAAGGCAAGCTCTCCCTTGAGGACTTTGCTTTAAGGTCAGTGCAATGTTATCAGGGATGGGCCATTCCTAAAGCAGTAGCTGAGGCTTAACAAGTCTGGTTGTAGCAATAAGAAAAGCTTTGTTCCATGGAAAAATTATCATGCCAGCTTCACTGGCTACTACACTGCATGTCCTTATGGGAGCCCTGAAATTGGAGAGGAGGGCAGAGCTTATGGAGAAGCACGTTGTGCAGGTCCTGAGGAGCTGAATGAACTCTCTGGAGCTGGTTCTGTTTCACAGCTTTGATTGCAAAAGGAAAAATCAGTTGATATGAAAGGGATGTTTCATAGTGTGAAAGCTAATGAGTTATTTGATCCACTACCCTGAAGTCCTATATTAAATACAGGTGTGGGGAATCCTCCCCTTTAGCTCCTCTAGACAGCGGTTTTCTTTGAGGATGAGAAGTCCCTGGACAGCACAGAGTTTCTGCGTGTCCCTATCGCTTTTCTCTCCCCAATCCTGGCACCATTAACATAATCACTGCAGAAAGGCCATATAACCAGCGATGGGGCCTCCCTGGCTGCTGGCCAGCCACACCCCTGCAAAACCACAAAGACAGCAATAAAACCAGTTTTACACTCATGCCCCAGCTGCTTTGGGCCCTGCTCCAGCCCAGCTGATGCTCTGGCATGGTTTGTTTGTGGATATTAAATTTATAAAATTGGATGCAGTGCCTTCTCCCTAATTGCCCTTTCACGAGTCAAAGGAGGGAAGGAGGCAAGGAGCTCTCTGCTGTCATTTTGTAGCCGGTCTGGTGTGTAGCTGGCCTCTCGGCAGGATGCCAAAATATATTTTCCAACAGCTGGCCAGAGGATTGAAAATCCTCTATTATTTGAGGAAATTGCACTTCATTTATATATATATTTATATACAGATATATATGTATATATTTTTAATATATATATACTTATAGGATATATAAGTATGTATAAGTATATATTAAGTGTGTATATATATATATTAAAAAATATAGGTATCAAGACTGACAATCCACTTTCACAAACTCACCAGCCTGTCTTATAAAGAATCAAAGCTTGTCACCCTTCCCCTTTCTACTGGAAAGATTAACCCCTTCTCTGATGGCAAGAAACTTTCTTGTCTCTGTTTCCAGCCTGAACTCACTCATGGTCGCTTTGGACTTGCCCAAAGGTCTCTGCTAATGGGCCACCAAAGGGGATGCTACCAGTGGTCCTGCTGGTGGGCTCTGCACTGTGTTGAACTAACTGGTCCTGGGAGAGCTATGGGAACTCAACATTGGGTTTTGTTTCCATATGCCCCAAAAGTGCAGTTAAAGGCAGAACTGTGGCCTTGAATAGCAGACCTGTGCTGGGGATGTGCCTTGTGGCCTCAGGTCAGTTCAGGGACTGATCTTCTAATTTCCTCATCTTCTGGATGTGGGATACTAATGCATAGGGCTCCCTGTATTTTCCTAGGACTTTGTTTGTGGCTTCCAGGGAAGGACAGTGGCCTCCTCTCTTCTCCATGATCCACATTCGAAGGCACACACCCCTTCCCGCTGTCATGTTAATGGTAAGGAGATGTGGCTGTGTGCCATGCCCTCTTCTTGCAGTCTTGGCTTTCCTGCAAAGCCTGGAGAAGCTGAGGAGTTTTAAAGGGTGTTGAGACACTAAGTCAGCCTCTGAAAAATAAAGAGGGTGGAATACTCTGGATGAAAAGTATTAAGCCCCTTTGTGTCAGCAGTGGTATCCAAACCCACTACCTTGAGTTCCCGCCTTATAGCCTTGGAGACCTTTTTTTAAAAGTACTGTCCCTACCATCTGCCATGGCTGCTGCTCAGTATCATCCCATGAAAACACCTCTGCCAGGCTTTGGCTATTTGGAAAACTGAAATTCCCAGGTGTGGTGGGAATGACCATTTGCAGAGATGCTCTGTTTTCGTTTTGGTTTGGTTTTTTTTTCTGGCTATGGTGGTCCAGATCCATCATAACTGTGCTGCAGTGACTCTTGCAGGTCAGCCAAGCTTCCAAAAACTTAGCAGATATCTTTATATGTTGCCTTTGTACCAACAGCACGGGCTTTTGGATCATGCATGTTTTAATTGCCCTGCCTAGGACACAAAGCATCAAAGATGCTGTTGATCTTGAAAGGATTGCTCCTTCCTGTGGCACGTCATAATAGTGAGTTTAGGCCTTCTGCCTTCAGTCTGTGACACTGTTTTGTAAAGCTTTCTGACCTCTGAAATGTTGGGGCTGTGAAGTAGCTGCCTGTGATTGCAGGGGGGCTGGAAGAGGTGATCCACATTACCCTTTCTTGTCCGAGGACCGTAGTAAGGCTTTAATGATTGTATTTCATCTTCACAATGCTCAGTTCCCTTTGGTTACTGCCATGGTGTGTATCGGAGATATCTACCATCTACTAAACTTCTTCAGCTTTTCCCGATGGCTCTTCATAGGATTAGCCACCCTTGGGCTCATTGTCCATCGCCACCGACACCCGGAGCTGCACAGCCCGTTCAAGGTAACGCATGGCATGTACCTAACAGCCAGGAATGTGCAGGCTTGTGATTTTTCTCTCTTACTTTCTAATAATTGCAGCGTTACATGGCCATGGTTGCCTTTAGGCTGTCAGGGGTCTTGATCCTTGCTCAGTAAGGGATGCAGGGAGAGCTGCTGAAATGTGCCCAAGCAGCCAGACATGGTAAATCCTATAAAGTCGGTTCTACATGGTGCCACATCTGTAAGAATGGCAACCTGCTCCAGGGGGCAAAATTTTGGGCTGGGAACTAGCAGATGTGCAGAAGGCACTCCCCACACTCATCTCATGGGCTGCAGGGAGACACCTTTACCTGGATGTTGTTTCAGTGGTAGGTAAGTCTCAGCTCTAGCTGAGAAGCAGGAGGGTGTCAGGCTTGGGGGAAAAGAGGATGGCCAGAGAGATCCTGGGAGCAGACCTGACTTATGGGGAATCATCTGCTGGCACAAAAATATTGTATAGTGTAAAGCAGCTCTTGTGCAACGATTGCTGCTGTAGGCCCTGAGGATGTGCACAGCGCATGGGTATGTACCACAAACTGTAGGACGCCTTGTCCTCTTGTGCCCTTCCCTGGCCTCCAGCAGTGGCTCTTCTCATGCGGCTGGGCGCTGGGAGCTTCATTGTGTTGATGGGGGACGTTGGAGTTTGTGCTGGAGCAGCTTTCTTGTGCTCGGAGCACCTTTCCCACTGCTGGGTGATGTGCAGAAGGTGTTAGGCTGAGGTGGTGCTCGAGGTGTACAGTTTGTTCCTGTCTCCAGTTGCGCCTGCCTGGTGCCTCCAGCCAGCTCCTGGGGAGGAGAGGGGACCTCTGAGGCCACAGGCACTGGGCAACCGATCAGCGAGAAGCTCAGGGGATAGAAACGCTTCCCGTGGCTCCCAGGGCTCCTCCCTGAGCCACATGAGGCCCCGAGGGAAGTTTGGGGTAATTTTTCTTCTCCGTCTTTGCTGGAGACTGTGTGTTTAGCAGAGAGCTTGAAGCTTCCCAGTTTGTTGGCTGGAAGCATTTGCGTACTCACCCAGAACCAGATTTTAAATATGTTTTCTCTTTTTCTTTTAAACCAAGATTCTCAGGGGAAGTTTATTAGTGGATAGCACTGGTGATGTTCTCAGCTGTTGAGATTTTTGCCCCGTTTTGATTTAGGCTTTTAATGGCTCCTAAAGGCAGATTAGGTGAGGGAAGGAAATGCTGGGCTTTTGGTCAGTTTGGCTGATTATTTGTTTTTTTCCCCGGTCTCCCTTGTTTTTATGACCACTTCGAACCTGAAGGGCTGTGTGCAGGTGGTGTGGGCATGTGCTGCGCTCTAGTGGCCAGAGAGAGGTCGTCTTCTGCCACCAGTTACGGAGAACGAATCATAAAATGCATATGATTATGCTGGTACTACTTCTCCCCAGCAGCATTTTGGGTGAGAAACGGTGAGAAAATACCGGGAAGAGGAGGAAGCCGTCCTCTTGCTCACCTCTCAAGCAGATGTGCAGCATGAGTGCGTGCACGTAGGAGAGGCTGGCAGGGGATGCTCGGGTTGGAAAGACCGCAAGAACACATAAGTTTGGTGGTTGGAAGGCTGCCATCGCTAGAGCAACTGATCTCTTCCAGCTCGGCATGGTCTGCATCCAAAATAGGATCTGTTACCGGAAAAGAGACTGTCACCCTAGGTGAGACCAGCAGCTCCTTCATTCTATCAGCCGTGGCAAGGAGTAACTTGGCTGAGGTTGGATCCAAAGACTGAGAGAATGTTTCAGAGTTTTATTGTTTATTGCAGTCTTCTGATTTACTCTCCAAATAACCCAGATGAATTGGCTCACCCAAAAGGGTAAGGCTGAAGTGCTGACTGCTTCTTTGGTCTTTCATCAGGGTGTTGTTGAAGCTTATGTTCTTGATGTAGGTGCTATGGAGATAGGGAGTCTGGTTCATCCTATTTTGGCTGCTGTAAGTCTCAGGCAAGTTGGAGGCAGGTCAGAATAAGCCATGAGTGTTACAACCAAAGAACCGTTTAATTCAAAGTGCTGCTCTTGGCTTCAGATTTTCCACCAGCAGTTGTGACGGGTGGCAAGTAGATACATGTGCATGCACAGGACCAGTACACTCAGAGAGCAATGGGGTATAGGTAACTTCTCCCCCTGCTTGGCTTCCAGTTGCCAGTGAGGTTTATATTTTGATGCACGTGAATATAGGCGGCATGCACCTCACAGGGCACACTGGGCTCTGAGGATGGTACAAGTCAATTTTTGCTATATGCATTCTACTCGTTCACAACTGATTGTAAAGAAGCACTCTGCAGGACAGCTACATGATTTTTCTCATCTTCTTTAAGATGTGTGCCAGCATGTGTGGAGGCTGATTTGCTGCAGCCATCAGTTTTGCCTGAGCATCTTCTGTGCTCTTTTCCCCAGGTTCCCCTGTTCATTCCTGTCTCTTTTACCATCATCTGCCTCTTCACAGTCGCAATGTCTTTCTACTCAGACCCTGTGAGCATTAGCATTGGATGCACCATGGTTTTAAGTGGTTTTCCAGTCTACTACCTCATAATCCATGGGCGAATGTCAAGTCGTTGCCGTAGCTCGTTTCGTAAGTACACGTTTGAATTTCAGTATTGTGGACCCACACAGGCTCAGGGTGGGGATGTCAGTTTGTTCCCAGGGCTCATCTCTAACACAAATTGCTCCATGACCAACATACCTCATGAAACCTAAGTCATGACCCCTGCCACCCCTTCAATGTCTTTCCCAAGACACAGCATCAGCAGCCAAAGAGATGAGGGGTAGGCTGTGCTGTGGGTGGTTGGCAGGCAGGCATGGGCTGTGTCTGTCTGGCTTGCAAATATATTGATAAGTCAGCCTGATGCTTTGTTTTAAAAAAGATAGGGCTGAGGTCTACCAAAGGGGTGGAGGAGGTAGGGGGGTGGGGGAAGGGGTGGGTAGGGAACAGAGAGGGTCATTTTTGCACCCCAGCCCTGGTTTCTGCTAGACTTTATCATATAGAATCATAGACTCATCTAGGTTGGAAGGGACCTTCAAGACCATCTAGTCCAACCATCTACCTAACTCTGATTAAAAAAAACCTCATCACTAAACCATGTCCCCCAGCACCACGACGACTTGTCTTTTCACCTCCAGGGATGGTGCCTCAACCACTTCCCTGGGCAGCCCATCCCGATGCTTGATAACCCCTTCAGTGTAAAAATTTTTCCTAATATCGAATCTGAATCTGCCCTGGTACAACTTGAGGCTGTTTCCTTTAGTCCTGTCACCTGTGACTTGGGAGAAGAGACCGACTCCGCCCATCTACACCCTCCTTTCAGGTAGTTGTAGAAAGCCATAAGGTCTCCCCTCAGCCTCCTTTTCTCTAGGCTGAACAACCCCAGCTCCCTTAGTCTATCCTCATAAGACTTGTGCTCCCATATCTTCAGGATCACCACCTCTCCCTCAAATTTGGCTGACAATGAGCAAGGAGATCAAAAGTTAGGATGGAGAGATTGACAGGCAGACACTGTAACCTTGTGCACAAAGACACTTTCTGAAAGGCTGGAGGGAGGACTGGTGGGAGAAGATGGGACTACCTGAGGGTTATCTGTTCAGTGAAGAGATCAGGACGGTTTTGGGCATAGATGTGGTTGTGTAAATGAAATACATCCTCCACTCTACGCGTTGTCTAGCACAGGTTTCCTTTGGATGTGGCACAGTGGTTGCCCTGGTGGCACAATGATTTGCTCAGAAACAAGAGCCTAATTTTGAGTTTAATTTATAATTTCAGTTATGAATCTTTTTTTCTTTTGATTTGATGTTGGGCTGAGGTGTGTATCAGTAACCACTGAACAGAAGAAAATATACAGCAAGAAAGGGTTACAATGGTCGGCTAATGTAGTGATCCAGCCATCAGTGCTGGTGCTCTGATTTTCAGCCGTATCTGAAGATTTCCGCTGGACTAAACTTGCTTCCTTTTTCTTCCCCCCTTTCAGATTATCTTACACACAAACTACAGTTACTGCTGGAAGTAGTCCAACAAGAAATCAAGACTTATTGAGAAAACCACCAGAACTCACGGGAGAAGATAAAATCTACTTACGCCATTTCTGATACCTTTGATCCTACCAAAGACAGGCCACGCTATTATTCTTTTAATCACTGCAAATGAGGATGAGCCTGAGACAAAACCTTGCTGCAAGTGTTCCTAAGCCTGGCAATCGGGATCAGCATGAGCGTGGCACATCTGTTTCTGCCCTTTTCTTTTTTAGCAGAACAAGCTAGTTCTTGGAAATGAGCTTGCTTTGCCTGCAGAGTGTCTTCAAAACCAAGATCCTAATTTAGCAGCCTATCCCAGTCCTAAGTAAAATAGAGTGTGTGTGTGTATATATATGTATATATATGTATATATATGTATATATATGTATATATATGTATATATATATATATATATACATGCAATTTTTAAGTTTCCTAACTTGGCAAATAGAGGAAGGGAGCATGTTGCAGAACTTGGAGTCCAATACATGGAAGCCAAATGCAGCTTTCAAATGAAGTGTTGTGGTAGCAATGCTGTGGACAAGAATTATGAAAGGAAACGGGTGGGAAGAGCAAATTAGAAATAAGGTAGATGAATTGGAAAGGAGGAGACAGGGAGCCAAAAATTCATTCACCAGAAAGTGCAAATTCAGGCTAACGAGAAGATATTTGAAAACTCTTTGAAATTCAAACATTATCAAAGTCAAGTCAGAATGTTTTACTTTGATTATTATGTAAGCAGAATAAGTTTATTCTCATTTGAAATAATATTTCGATTTTGAATTTTATTTTTCTGAAACGACATTTCAAAATATACAAACACATTAAAAAAATCAGCTAAACATCAACAAGAATATGACAAAACAGATCCTGATCCCTCCCCCAGCTCCCCAGCCCTGGTCCTCACCCAGTGCCAGCAGTGAAGTTGAAAATTTATATTTCAGACCAACTCCAGTGAAATACAATTTCTTCTTTAGTTAGACAAGATCACTGATGAGGGCAGATTCCTGAAAAAGTGTATCTTTTGGTGCTGTAAGAAGACATGAAAGACTTCGTGTCAGAGCTTTAACTTTAAATCTGCAATCAAATGACTTGCTGAATTGATATGTAAATGCTCATTTGAACTATTGACATAAGAAGGTTTCCATTACTGGATTACTTTGGTTTACATTGTGAATGTGGCAATGTTATGTCCAGGTAAAACAGCAATTACCTTTTCCCAATCACTTAATTGTTAATCTTCTCCTAAAAGATGGGAAGTAGCATGCTGAGGCTCCTCTAATGACCACTGGAGAGAGGAATCACAGAATGTGGTGCATGTTTAATCTTTTTTTTATCAAGCATTTATGTACTTGGAGTAAAACCAAAGTAACATTTACAAACCCAGTGTAATTTACCTAAACTTGTAAAATTCACCATAAAGATTTGGAAATAAATAAGAAGTTGCTTGGTTTTTTTTCCAAAGCAATCGAGAATTATTTTTGTTGTTATGACTGCTTTCCCATTCCTGTGCTCCATTAAGCTGGGGTAGCAGCAGTGCAGTTGCAGGGTTCATTTTCCCCCTCCCACAGTTTAATTTACAAGCTGCTGGACATTGACCAACAGGAAATCCAGTCTTACTGGGAAGACCATCACAACCTACAGGAGAAGGTACTGACTTTAAATGATAGTGTGGTTTCAGGTGAGATCTTGAAATGTTTCCAGCCTTCCAGGTATGGATCAATCCCACCTTGTGCCAGGCTTTGCTGAAGCTGAACCTTCCTGCAGCACCCTGCGGCCAGGCTCTGCTGTGGGTGGTTGAGGAATCAACCTGCAGAAGACCTTGCAGAACCAGGTGAGCCCCATCACTACAATACAGCCTGAGTCCACCCCTTTAGTTCCTCGTTTGGGACATTTTTCACACCTTGAGATAGAAGCGTGAGGTGTTGCCAGTGTGGTTCTGTACTCAAGACCTCTGTGAATGTGATGTGCCCACACCGTAGCATCAGTACTTGTGCATCAAAGTTTGGAGTGGTCTGAAATTGCAAGAGAGCTGCTGTGTGTCTGCAGATATACACACACAGAGGGTGAAACATCTTTTTTTTTGTCCATTTCCTCTGAAGAGAAAAGGGAACAAGATTCTAAATTCCTGGGGCGAAAATAAGTAATCCTACCTGCCGGACCATGTTTTTTATACATGATAAATCATTTGACATATGCTGGGAAACCACACTTGGATGCCTCTGCTGACTGTGCAGGAATATGATCTTGCAGGGCTATATATATAGGATGCCTGCTCCAAGACCTGTCAGATACTGGAAATGCAGACAGATATAGTACCACGGATACATTGACAGTTAGAAATCAGAGGTTCAACAGCTTCACAGATGATGTTGCAATTAAAAGTGTTAAAAATAAAAGATATGATGTTCAGAAGTGTCAATTTACAGCGAGCTCAAGTTTCCAGTTTGTGGTGAGTTGTTTGTTTTTAGAGAGGATGGTATGTTGCTCCCAGCAAAGCTATGTAATGTCTCCTACCAAGCCAGAATGTTTTTCCTAGAGCTGATATCTCATGCCTACTGAAGCTCTTGGCTTCAGTTCAGAAGAGTATTTTACTAGAGAATTCACATATGCAAAAATGAACCTCCAGGACCTGATCCTATAAATCTCATCAGTCAAAGGGAAGCATAAAAGTTGTGCAACTATGGAGATGAGAGCCAGATACTATATGGAAGGTCAAAAGCCAGTCAAAAGACGCAGACGGGGAAGAAACAAAGTTCAACTTCATAATCACATTTGTGGTGTTTCGTTCATTTTCTTTTTTCAATACTACATCTATAAAATGCAGTCAGAGAGCAGCCTTTCCAGAAACTAAACCAGAGATTTATGTGTTCCAGCCTCTACAGATCCAGTCCGACTAGATCATCAGGAAATAAAAATGTTCTGGGCAATTCAACTGAATGTAATTTGTGTAACAAAAAAAAAAAAAAAAAAAAAAAAATTAAGAACACTTCACCTGCCGTTAAGAGATTTCAAACACCCAGGGCAGCAGCACTGCTGAGAAGGAGCCACATACAGGTTTGATGAGGTTTAACTTCATATTGTGTAACAAAAAAAAAAAAAAAAGAAAAAAAGTTAGTACTACTTGACCTGTCGTTAAGCTTTATGCTTCAGAGCTCTGCTGGGAAATGGTCTCAGCCTTTTAGAGTGAAATACTGGAGGTCAGACTGGAAAGCTCCTAACTCTTTGATTTCCGTGGAGAATAACAGAGCAGAGGCTCAGACTCCGAGGTAAAGGAATGCAGATCCTCGGGAGAGCGCAGAGCTCTGCGTGGGCTGATAGAGCCTGCCCCCCCAGGGCTCTGTGCTTGGTTGGCACCACAAACCCCCCAACAGCGTGATGACCAACATGGAGAGCTGTGTGTTGAGATTTGCACCCCTTTTCTGCATTGAGATTTGGGGTTTGCTTTGCAAGGCAACGCCAGCTTTCGTGCTTTCAAAGACTGATGTTCAGCAGAAGCTGCTCCTGGCAGGAATCTTGAAAGGAGAAGGTCCTGAATACCCCCAGCCACTGGAAGGATGGCAGGAATTGGCTCAAGGTAAGTGCTGGTGCTCGACAACAGCTGTGCTGTTCCGTAGAGATGTTGATTTTACTGATGCATCAGCTGTCCCTGGCTGCCGCGCGTGCGTGTGGCGCAATCACCAGGAGGAAACGTTACGCAGCTCTGTTTCTGAAGGGCTAGGGGAGAGTCACCCGTGGCGTCCCGTGGGGAGAGAGACGCCGAGAGGGGCAGCGAGGTACAAACGTGCCGTTTGGGAGCTCACAGGGAGCTCAGACAGGCCAGTCATATTTTATTTCTGAAGGATTTACTGCAGCCGCAGGACTTTTCCCATGTGGAGCAAGGCTTCGGGGGGCTCATCCCACCGGCAAGCACGTGGCTGATGCCCTTGGCTCCCCGGGGGTGGTGGCTGGGCAGCCCCACGGCAGGACTGTGAGTAGGGGAGACGGGCTCTGACAGCTTTCCTGGGGGGCTGCTGAGCTGGGAGGGAGGAAGCTGGGGATTTCACGGTTTGTGGGCTTGGCTTTAAGGGCTGCTGGAAGGACAACTGCTTGCAGTCAGTCATCCCGTGTATATGTCTTCATTAATTCACCCTTTCTTCTGCATGAGGAGGAGGTGTTTAAGAGAAAAGGTGGTATGAGGTTGCTTTGTATGTATAAAGTTTCTTCTGTGTAAAGCTATTCCTGTGGAGATATAAAAAGTGAATTTACAGGCAATCTCTCAGTTGCACAAGACCAGATAGCAAAATCTTCAGCAGAAGGTGAAGGACACCACCTGTCTTGCCAGAGAAATGTTTCGGTCTGCTTTATTGAGTGTTTCACCTCAGTTTCTTTATAGTTGAGGTTAGTTGGTGAGTGGAAAATCCCTGCAACAGGCAGAAACGCTTGCAAGTGAAAGTGAAAGTAGGGCACAACTGGCCATTTTGGGTAGCTGGTGGGGTTAGGGCAGGCTGGGAGCCCTGGGTCTCCACAGGGGAGCCTGCAGGAGTTAGCATTCCTTTGTGGTGTGGGGAGAGAGGGAGCAGGGATGGGGGGAGCAATGGAGAAAAGCTGCCTGGAAACATCATCCCACCCCACTCTGTTGCTTTCATCTCCATTTCCCCTCCTCTCCCTCAAATCCCACGCTTCAAATCCACAAACTTCAAATCCTTCTGCTGTGGCAGCCGTAGCAGCACACTGCTGTGCAGAGGGGAGAAAAGGACAGCCGCATCCAAAATAATTAAAAGAAATCTCCCGGGAGTGCTGCATCTTATGAATCTCCTGCAATGGGACTTGAGAGAAAATGAATTGGGAGCATTTTTCTAGGAACAGGCCTGGCTGGTGTTACTGTGTACAAAGAGCAACTGTGGTCTGAGGACAGCACTGGAACAAGCTAGGGCTGCGAAGGAGACTTGAGTCCTTCCTCGCGCTTTGTTCTGGCAGTTCAAGGGCTGCCAAGCCTTTGTTTGTGGACCTTTGTACTGTAACCAGCTCTATAAGGGAGCTCCTCCTATAATGATTTCCTCTGGTCAGCCTGCTCTGAATGCCCATGATCCCTGCCAAAGCGTGAAGGGCGTCAGAGCCGGAGAAATGATCATTTCCAGTTTCTCTGAATGGTGTGTTCTTCAGGCCAGCCACAGACCCTTGTGAACTCCACAGGTGGGCAGCTCTCAGCTGCGTGTATGTGCTCCACAATGGGGTAATGTTGTAGGAGCAGCAAAGTGATGAGATGTATAGAAAAAATGTTGGCTGGGTCCAAAACTGGGGCAAGCAAAGGAGGGTGAAGCACAGCAGCAAGTAAAGTCAAATCCTCCAAATTTAAATTATTGGCGGCTACAAGTTTCAGCTTGTTCTCTTTGCAGGTGCTGTGTCGTCAGGGTAGAGCACAGAGCAGGGATTTTGCTGGTAAGTGATATTTTTTGTTTAGGGTTTTTCCCCCTCCAAAGAATCTGTCCTTGGCTGGCTGCCAGAGGCCCAGCCAGCCGCTCGCTCACTCCCCTTCCTCAATAGGACCTGGGGGAGAAAATAAGATGGAACAGTTCATGGGTTGAGATAAAGACAGGGAGATCACTTACCAATTCCTGTTGTGGGCAAAATAGGCTTGACATGGGGAAGGGGAATTTATTGCCAATTAAAACAGATTTGGATGGTGAGAAACAAACACAAAAATTAGAACAACACCTTCCTGCCACCCCCTTCTTCCCAGGCTCAACTTCACTCCTTTGTTACTGACACTCTTCTACCTCCCCCTGCCCCAGCCTGGTGGCAGACCTACCAGAGGGAGGAGAAAGGTTAAGGAGCTTCAGGAAGGCTGGGAAGGAGGTAGACTGGTGGAACCATGCTCTACCCTCCCTGAGACAGATGCAGGAACAGCCACCAGAAAAAACCCCACAAGACCAAGGGTATACTGTATCCTTTCCCCACCAGGCTTAAAGGAGAGGAGAGAATGGAGACAACTCCATACTCAGTGTGGCAGGCGAACCCAGTCCTTGACACCTTGCCTTCCCAGGTGCCTCTCTACAACAGCTATGAGGCTCTGGGTATGGAAGGCCAGTCAATGGATGTTCATCTACATATAAGGTGCTACAAAGGTCAGAAAGGCCTACCCTCCATACCATGACCACTTCCACAAAGAAGAAAAGATGGGTTATAGTTGTAGGCGACTCCCTCTGAGGGGAACAGAGGGTCCAATATGCTGGACAGACCGTCCTCTTAGGGAAGTCTGTTGCCTCCCTTGGTCCCAGGTTAAGGACAGCACTAGGAAACTTCCTAGGCTGGTATGCCCCTTGGGCTATTGCCCATAACTGTTTTTCTGTGTGGGTGGTGATGAAGCTGCAATGTATATTCCAAGGGTGATCAAAAGAGACTTCAGGGTATTGGGGCAGTTGGTAAGGGAATCTGTAGCACAGGATAGTTTTTCATCTCTCCTTCCAGTGGTGGGCAGCGACACTGGAAGAAACAGATGGCTCCGGTCTATCTATACATGGCTCCATGGCTGGTGTCACTGACACAATTTTGGCTTTTTCAATAATGGGATGGCCTACATGGCACCAGACTTGCTGGTATCAGATGGAGTTCACCTTTCTCGAACAGGGAAGAGAGTCTTTGCTTATAAGCTAGCAGGGCTCATTGACAGAAGTTTAAACTAGTCTTGAAGGTGGAGGAGGATAATCTCAGGCTTGCCTGTGACAAGCTGTGGGATGACAAGGTTAGAGAGACAGGATACTAGCGAGGACCCTCAGGCTGTTGGACAGGTGACACCACTGGCCTTCACGTAACGGTCTGAGTTTATCATGTCAAGTGGTATTTTCTTGCAATGTGTATTTTAGAAAGATAAATTTGAGAGAAAAACAGTCACCCAGGACCAAGCCAGAGAGGTGAAGGTCATTTCTATGATGCTTACCATGCCCCATAAATGTATAAACATCAGTTCCTCGGTTCTGGGCTGAACCTGCACTTCCCAGCTGGAGGGTTCACCTTTTCTGAGAAGTGATTAGGCCTCTAACCAGACCAAGGATATCACAGTTTGACAGCTTTGGGAAAGACCCATACTTTAATCTGGATTTCTCTTTTGATGTTAGGGCCAAGCAAGCAGCCAGGCGTCGGTCAGCTCTTCTGCGCCTGTGGTGTCTTCTGACTCGTCTGCCTGCTCCCGACATGGAGTATGCCTGGTATTGGCTTGATGATTCTGGGCAGTGGATTGAGTACGGGGAAGAGGTGAGATTCATCTGCTGTTGATGCCAAAAGCTCTTGTTAAGCCATCTTTGGAGAGTTATTTAGAGCAAGTTGTTCTGCAGCTGGTGTGTTTCACATGCCACTGGGTGCCCTTGCAGTGCTGCTCTGATGCCCTGGTGGATTTGCCTTATTAATTGTCCCTCAAAGGAGTACTTCTGCTCTGTGAAAGCTTTCAAAGGACTGGCTCTGAAAGAGGGTGCATTTTCCGGGGATGATGGATGTCTTTTGGCTGAAGCTGACCACACAGGCTGAAGGCTGCTTTGTTACTGTTGTTACAAGCAGCTGTTCTCTGTGGCATACCCTTCCGTCTCTGAAGAACAAAATGTTTGAAGCCTTAGAGACTTATTTCAAAATGGCATCCTGGGATAGGGGCCTGAGGAAACACTGGTATTTCAGCACAGTGTCACCTAAACCAAAGACTGGTTTCTAACAGGTTTCCTTGTTCTTTCTGTAGCATCCGGATCACTGCTCTGCCACGGTGAAATCTGCAGATCTGGAGAAGAAATTTCTATCTAACCGGAAAGGCATTGTGTTCTTCAGCGCTGGTTCTCAGAAGTATGAATTAAGATTTGAAGGTGAAATATCTCCTTGTTTTAAGTTCATTACACAGTGTGGCTGGCTCTATGGTAGCCTCCTTCATGTGAAGTTGTCACCCTGTGTCTGGATTTCTTTGAACAGATCTTTTTCCTCCTGTAAGTTTTCTCCAAGCAGAACTTGATCAATATGTGCATTTGTATTTCTCTGCAGCTTTGAGATGCCCCACTTGAGCCTCTAGACTTGTGCATCTATAGTCTAAAAAGCATCTCTGACAATACTATATATTCAGAGTAAGAGCTGAGAGTAAATGTTCTATGGCATCTAGCTTATGCACTTGGGTTTATACAACTAAAGAGAAGAAATGAGAAAGGAAAAAAAAAAACAAACAGGCACTGAAAAGTCAAATGGTGAAGAAGTCAGCCCCTGGTAGACATCTTGCAAGCTAGTTGTGTGGAGAGAAAGCACACAGTGCAGCAAAGGAAAATTTAGTGCTGGTTGCACAGAGAGAAAATGGGAAAATGAGAAATGTTTTTCTGTTTCTAATTTATTTACCCAACTTAAAATTCCTCTTAGCTTTCCAAACTTTAAATCTGTTTCCTGGCATGAATAAAGAGAGTGGTGCTTAAAGGGGGGAAACAATGGATAATTAGCCATGTCACACAGCGTGTGCTCTGTGATATTGCTACAGGACGAAGAAGAGAGGACAGACTTTCCTCTTAGCACCATGTAACAATCCCGCACTGCCGGGAAAGCTAGATTTATGGCCTCCATCCTATTGAAAACTCTTCCCTGCTGTAGGCCTGACATCAGATGTGGTTTTCTCTGGCCAACAGCCTGGATGTGAGTGCGTGTGCAGGTGCAGTTGGTGGTTGGTTGCCTTTGAGCTTCACAACCTACGCTAGCAGGTGGTTGACCTTGCTGAGCTCCAAGCAGGAATGGTTTTGAGGTATGGAGTGGGGTGGGTGTGGTAGAGAGAGCACCATGACGTGGTATTCAGGGCTACCTCCTTTTAAATTTTTTCTAAACACGTAAGAGTGTGTCCCTGGACAATAAATTGTCTAATTAAGGAGTCATTGTGTTTTTCTTTTAAGACATGGTACAAACAAATTTGGTCTTTGGAACTCAAAGAGAAGTTGCCCGACTGCCAAAATTTCTGTCCTCTCAAGGCGGACAAAACAGAAGGTAATATGCATTCCTTATTTATTAATGTCTCTAGATGACAGCACCTTTCTGCTAAGAAGTTCCTCCTACCTATCTAGAATTCATTTTTTAGATTTCTTACATGCATTTTTTGGCTATCTTTTGCTGACTGGTTTAATGGCAAATTTTGCAGTGGCGGTATTTGTAAATTAAGCAACACTTCTGTAAAGTGTGCTGGAGGGATGCTTGGTGGCAGTCTCTGGCAGCTGTGAGAGACCCATAGAGTAAATTTGTTCTCTCTGTGAAAGCAAAGCCACACAGGGCTGACACAACTGTGCCAGGCATTTTTATTCCTTGATTTATGGCTCAACAATAATAAATAAACTGTGCACAGGGTAGGAGCAAGGCACTGCCAGTCCCAAGAGCTGTGGGGCAGATAGATGCCATCCCCTGGAAAGTTGAGGATAAAACAAAACACAGGAGCAAATCCCTCTAACTGAAGCGAACTGGATGCACTTATTTGGGATACTCTGTCTCACGGCTTTTTTAAAGGAAGTTCAGCTTGACAGAATTTGAGCACGTCTGCTGTAAAAGTTAGTTGTGCTACTGCTTTATTTTAAAAAGAGCCTTTTCTGCTTCAGAAACTCGACAAGCAGACAGTGCATTTGAAGTCAAGGGTTCAATTTAAGGGTTGGTTCAACAAAGTGGGGGGGTGATTCAAAAATAAAAACAACTGTAGCTCCTGAATGGATACTAATGCTCCTATTGCCTGGGTTAAAACATGCATGTCAGGAGGCCATTAGTGCTGGAAGTCGTTAAGCACTGGCTGATGCAGTAGTGCCTCTGCAGGGCACAACTGTCCACCTACAGACTCTTGACGGGCTTGTTCTTGGGGACAAGTAGGAACAGGCCACCCATCTGGCCATCAATTTAGAGATGAGTAGCCATGTGGAGGGAGAGGGCTCACACTCCAGTTTCCTAGAGATTCAAGGAACACATGGGGAGGGCTAGCAGGGAGCAGCTGTATGAACCACCTGTCTAGGAGCATGTTACTTCTCGTTTGAAGCTCTCCTACTGGTGTCTTGACCTGCCAAGAGATGCATTAGGGCCACTAGGATGTGTGTGGATATCTAAGCTGGAGAAAGGGATGATGGTTTTGTGGAAAGTAAAGCAAAAATAAAAATCCAGGGGTACCCAAAGGCTGCCGTGGAGCCAGCAGCTGGATTCCTCAGAAGGGGGATTTGGTTAGGAGTATCATGGACTGACTCACTCCTTTTTTCTTTCCTGCAGCCAAAACATGCCTCTCTCATGTCCTCCCCAATGGGCCCAGTCTGCACTGCCTGATGTTGGGTACAAGGTACCTCTTTCCAGCTCTCTGATGGGCAGGGCAAACTGTGTCCTGTACTGATTTTTCTGAGAACATGACCCCAAGGCACTTGAGATGTTCCCAGCTCTTAAACATGTCTTATAAAATAACCAACTATGAGATGAACCAAGACTGACATTTCACATTCAGAACAGACCTGTGTCTCCTGAGGAGGCTCTCTGAAACACCCTTACATACACCATGCAGGATAAGAAAGGCCCTTTTTGTCATTACTGGTTTGACCTGTCCTTTGCGTCCTCCCAAGACACTGATCCTCTGATAAAACTTGATGAATTGCATCTTAAAGGGGTGTTGTGGTATTTCCTCCATTGCTTTAAGGCAAAATGTTATTTGCTGTGGCAAAACAAGGGCTTAGCCCTGTAAGGAAGGAAATAGAGTGTCAAATTAAGGTGAAACTGGTATTCAGTCTTCTCCAGCTTGAATACTGCTGTGCATTTCATCTTTAGGTTACTCTGGAGTAAAAATAATCTAGATGTGGAGGTGTATCCACCGAAGGAAGCTCAGGTGGGATTGTATTCATTTCCCTCAGTCAGTGCCTGTGCTTCCATGTGGGGAGTGGGGGTGAAGGTAGGGAGAGGATGGTTGACTGGAAAGACAGGAGAAGCTTGTGATATTAACGGCAGGACTTTTCTTCTGATGTGAGGATGTCGATGAGTCCTTTGAAA